TCTATATATTCCTTTCCGGGTTCGTGGGTCGATCATGTTTCTTGCAGATCCTCAGGGGCATGGATGTCCCGGATCCCCATGATGCGTCGGGCTCGAAGTTGATAGAGGCTTCCGCCCGACGGGCCCTCGACGGCCTGAAACAATACGGGGTGGGCAAGCTCGTCAAACGGAGCGAGGCCGCCGGCAAGAGGATCAGCGCCCGCTGGGACCATGCCTACAAGTGGGACGCGAACCTCGGATGCAGGATCGCTAAATCAAGGTACGTCGCGCGAGAGTTCAAGTGGCAGGAGTACCGCGACGACCTCTTCGCGCCAGGGAGCAGCATGGCTGACAGCCGAGTGGTGGACACTACGTGGCTCTGAAGCGCGGGTGGCCCACCTTCGCTGTTGACGCGGAGGACGCGTACTACCATGTCCCCGAGGAGGGGGACGTGTGGGTCGAGTGCCCACCCGAAGTCCTGGAAGAGTGCCGCGCGAAGGGCGACACCGAGGACGACGTTTGGCAGCTCGCGAAGCAGTTGCCGGGACGGCGTGCTGGAGGGAAACGCTGGGTCAAGTTCGCCGCGCAGCAGCTCATGGCCAGGGGCTTCGGGCGGTCACCGACCGCGCCCCAGTTCTTCTGGCACGCCGAACTCCCATGTCTGGCGGAGCTGCACATGGACGACATGTGCGGCGCAGCGCCTGGAGTTGCAGGGTCCGGCTTCGTGCTGGACCTAGGCCTTGACATCAAGGTGAAGTGGTCAGGCCTACAGGGCGACGGTGCCGACTACGAGTTTCTCGAGAGGCGGCGCGTGCGAGAGGCTGGCGCCACCTGCATTCAGCCCGACGAGAAGTACCTCGCGAAGGCGCTGGAGGCGCTAGGCCTTGAGGAGGCCAACCCGTGCGCCACCCCAGGTGTGGAGGCGCACAGGACAGGCGGGGATGACACGCTTGACCTCAGCCCAGACGAGGCCAAGGTGTTCAGGGGCGTGACCATGTGCCTGCTGTTGTACCTGCACGACCGTGAATATGCTCAGTTCGGCATGAACTACCTGACCTCGTGCATCTCATCGCCCCGTGGGGCGGACATGCGAGCCCTAAAGCGGCTGGCAAGGTACTTGAAAGGGCGCGAGGGACCTGGGCGTGAGGATGGCCAAGCCCGCCGCGCCGCAGGACGTCGTCGACCTAGTCGCGTGGACAGACTCCGACTGGGCAGGCGACACGAAGGAGCGGAAGAGCCAGACCAGCGTGCACATCATTGTGCGTGGGTGTCCAATGCTCGGGGTCAGCTGTCGTCAAGACGCGCAGTCCCTTAGCAGCTGCGAAGCCGAGTGGCACGCTGAAGCTCAAGGTCTCAGCGAGGGGCTTGGGCTGAAGGTGCTCTTCACGCTCATGGGCTACAGCGTGCGCGTGAGCTGGCGATGCGACAGCTCGAGTGCGAGAGCGCTGGCGAGGCGTCAGGGCACAGGGCGGATCAAGCACCTTCCCGCCAATGCGCTTTGGATTCAGCAGTTGGTGGCGAAGAAGGTCAGCGCCATCGAGCCTGCAGGCGGTGATGGCAACCTGGCGGATTTTGGCGCAAAGGTGTTGCCGAGGACGCGCTTCGAGTGGCTCCGCGAGAGCTGCGGGTTGAAGGAGGTGCCCGCGCCAGGGACCTCGAGGGTCGTTGGAGTCGGGGCCATGCCGACCGACTTCCAGGCCCATGCGAACCCGCTGAAGGTGTTGCTTGCAGTGGCCGCGTCGCTCCCCACGGCGGTGCAGGGGAGTTCGGCCGAGCTGTGCGAGGCGCCGCGGGAGATGGGCGAGAGCGCGCTGACGCCAGTGGCCATGCTGGCAATCGCGGCTGAGGGCTACTACGTGAGCCTGACTGTGCGGATGGCGGGCGTGAGCCTAGGGCTCCTGCTCGCTTTGCTAGGGGCTTCCTTGATTTGCTGGTGTGTGTGAGGCCGAGCTGGTGCCGCGCGGGTGCCTTGCCGCGCGGTGGCGACGGCGGGAGGTCATATCGTGCCCCGATCGAGAGGTCGAGTGAGCCAGCAGTGAAGATCAAGACTAAGAAGGGCGACCGCAGAAGGACGGTTGCCACCCAGAGCCAGGTCAGGTATACCTGGTGGGCGACCAGCCCCCGTTTCCAGCCTCTGGGGCCGCGAGAACAGGGGGCATGGTCCGAGTAGGGCCTTGAGCTGTGTACTGTGTAGATGCGCTACAGGCGCGAGCCTAGACCTCCGCGACTATGCGTCGAGGCACTGCGGGTTTTAGTTTCACTTTCTAGAACCCTGGTGGGAGTGGTGACCCCGAGGGGTGTCCGAGGAGGAGCGGGCCCATCACCTGCTCCCCGCTCGGCCAGGCGGTGTGCTCGGGATCTTGAGTTATTCAGACGCCATCGATTCATGACATGCCCGCAGGCGCTTTTGTTCGAGCTGCGTTTGAGGAAAAATAGCTCCAATATGCGCTTTCCCCGCGCATCCGCGTAACTTCCGCCACATTTCAGGAGGGAAAACATACCCTTTAAGAGCGCGAGCCCGGCGTGATTTGCGAATGGATATTGCGTCGGGGGTGCGAATCTCTCGCCAGAAGGCCATGGTGGTTTTCGGTCCCCCCCCCTCTGCGCAGACAGCAAACAATTTGCAGTAGGAAGCAGAAAACTGTATTGTAACAGTGGAATCGGAGCCTTGAACTGGTGCGGGGTGCAGGGGTTTCGGACGCGCAGCCTGGGGGCCCCGCAAGGGGGCCAGCGGATGACCATCGACCTCACTCCGTACCTGGCCGCACCGGGGCAGGATCCATTCCTCTGGACCATGCGGGCCGCGCGCGCATGTTTCTTTTGTGAGATAAGACGATGCGGGCGACGCGCGCGTGCCGATTAATTTACATAACACTTGGTTACCCAACGACTGTGAAGAGGTCAATATTAAACAACGGTTTCTGCAATGACATCAGTTTCTTGCACCCCTGCCATCCAAGTCTTGTAATAACATGTGGCGCACATTCCTGGATCCCACAATCTTAAAAACACAGTCGAAGCGCGCTGCCCAGACACCCGCGAGTTCAGACAATTGCACGATCTCTTTCATTTACCGGCTTTGAGACTGGACGCCAGCATGCGCGTGGCGAAGCATGCGCGCTTGGGCTATATACAGCAAGAGCGGTCCATAAGCGGAGCTAGTGAACACTCTACGGTTCCAGGCGCGGGTATGATCGGTTAGCACTGCCACGCCGCCGCCAGAGCTTGCCCTACTCTGTCTCCTTCCTCTCCTCCTCATCCAGAAGGGGGAGGGACAGATGCCTTGGGCAGGAAGGGAGGCAGGAAATGGTAGGAGAAGCGGGCATGACGAGGCGGAAGAGGTTGAGGAGGAGGGGGAGGAGGAGGATAAGGAGGAAGAGGAGGAGGAGGAGGAGGAGGAGGAGGAGGAGGAGGAGGAGGAGGAGGAGGAGGAGGAGGAGGAGGAGGAGGAGGACCGTCTGGCAGGTCCAGTACACAGGTGAGGGGGGATGTGTTGCGGCGTACACCTTTTGTGTGGTAAACCTGTCCGCAGTGCCTCAACTGAGGTGGGCCGGCGGATTCTTTCCCTGATAAATATCAAGGTCGAAGTGGGCCGGCGGATTACAATTTGAGGATGTCTCAGGCGAAACGCTTGTTTTTGAAATCCCGATCGATAAATCACAGGGTGCGGGCCACTCTTTCGTGTGTTGAGGATGTCTCGAGCGAAACGCTTGCTCCGCAGAGTTACCGAGGATGTCTCGAGCGAATCGCTTGTTTTGTAGAACTTGAGGGATCTGGGCGCCCCAGGAAGTGGAACGTGGAAGTGCCCGTCGCCCAATACGGTGTCGTGAAAACGTTTCCATGCATGCGGTTCTATGTCCCTTTCCGGGTTCGTGGGTCCATCATGTTTAATAGAACGGGTCAAGCCCTCGAGCCCCTCAGCGCCACGATACCAGCTTAGGATTGGTCACGCTTTGCAGGGTGTTCAGTTGACGTCCCCCGATCCAGGTGCCTTCAGGGGTTCTCTGGCAGGTCTCAAGGAGTCCTTTGAGAGGTCCTTTGGGTGGTCTCAGCGGGCTCCACGGGTCGTCTTGTGCGGGAAAGGTCCTGGACGTTTGTCTCGGCTCACCTCCTGAGGCTTGACTTTGTGGAAATGGATTTAGATGTGACAGTATCTAAGTACTAAGCCTGGCCTTTCATTTCGGTTGTGCGATTGTGCGTAACAACGGCAGCTTGAAATTATTGGTGTGTGTGTGTGTGTGTTAACTTTGATGCGCACTGACAGGGGCACCCGTGCCTCATCGTGTTCGGTGGCCGACCGGCGCGCTGGAGGTGTGCGAGTGCGCGGTTGCAGGGTGCATCAGTGCGCGCTCCCTCTGTGCGCGCGGAGGGGAGCCCTCGTGCCCTGGTAGGGGTCCTTCCAAGCTGCGATGCAGACGCCCTCGACGACTGAGCCGTCGACGACGGCGGTGCCCTCGACGACGGCGACACCCTCGGCGACGACGGCGACGAAGACGACGGCTGAGGCCATCACCCGCGAAGTGGTTGCAATTAGAGATCGCCGGCGATATTGCACCGGACGCTCGGCAGTCGTGGCGGCAAGAGGAGGTGCACAAGTGAGGTGCGCTCGATTTGTTTTGCTTGTGTTTTCTTCCAGCGCACAGGTGACGGCAGCTCGCCGATACATGGCGTGCGGGGCACGCGCAGGCTGGATTTACCACTTCATGTGGTAATGCGGCAAAGGCCCAGACCGATCACGGTGCCACGAGCGGTGCGAGAGAACCATACGAAGCAGGCGAGAGGGAAGCGGCGGCTGAGAAGAGGAACGCACGCGCGGACGTAGGTTGATTAATGTGTGCCCTCCCTCAATGCACGCGGGAAAACGGAGGAGGAGAAGGAGGAGGATAATGAGGAGAAGGAGGAGGATGAGGAGGAGGAGGAGGAGGAGGAGGCGGACGACGGCGAGGACGGAGGCGACGTCGAGGACGACGGGGTGGCCAGGCGGCCTCGTTCGATTGAGTCTTCGTGCACTTGCCTGTAAGGTTATGGAGATGAGCCACGGCAACATCGGTTCTGTGCTGGCCTTGGTCTCGAAGGCTGGCGATGGCGGTGGGATGAGTGGAAGCGGCGAGAGCGGGGGTGGAGGAGCAAGTGTAGGTTGGAGGGGGGAGGGAGGAGGGAGCAGGAAGAAGGAGAAGGAGGAGTTGGAGGGAGGAGGAGCATTCAGGAGGAGGAGGATGAGAAGGAGGAGGAGGAGGAGGAGGAGGAGGAGGAGGAGGAGGAGGAGGAGGAGGAGGTGCAGGATAGGGTGAGGAGAGTCTCCTCTCTGGCTTCAGTCCGGGACACCCGGGACACCCGGGACACCCGGGACACCCGGGACACCCGGAGCACCCGGGACACCCGGAGCACCCGGGACACCCGGGACACCCGGGAAACCCGGGACACCCGGGACACCTGGAGCTCCCGGAGCACCCGGAACACCCGGGACACCCGGGACACCCGGAACACTTGGGACATCCGGAACGCCCAGAGCACCGGGAGCACCCGGGACATCAGGAACACCCGGAGCCACAGCACGCGCGGAGCCAGAGCGCGGAGCCACAACACCCGCCGCTTGCTGTTGCCGCGGCGTACACCCACCCACACAATGGGGAGGTAGAGGGGAAGCGTTCCGTACACAATGCCAGCCACGGACGACACGGGCTCCCGTTCGAGACTTCTCACGATCTATATATATATATATATATATATATATATATATTCCGAGAGCCCTTGGCAGGGAGGCTTCCGAATTTGAGGCCTCGAACTCAGGACTTGCGCTCTCGTTTGAGACTTTCTCGTAATTCTACTGGCCTGCGGCCCATCCCGCTTTCGGCTGGCTGTGAGGCATGCCGCCTGTTTGGCGCCTCCGTCGTGCGCTCCTGGAACGCTCCGGGTCACCCAAGGGCCGCGCCCATATTGTCGATATTGTAGCCGGAGCGATGGTTGTCAATCTGATGCCACTGGGCAGGCGTATTTTCCCGAGGGGTGCGTGGCCGATAGAGGAGGACAGCGCTCCGGCGCTCCAGCAGGAGGGGTTCCTCCCTCCTTGCTGCGTGCTTGCGTTTGGGCTGGGGAGGGAACTTGAAAAGGTTCACTCTCTAGCTGCGGGAGAAAGAACTTGAAAAGGTTCACTCTTCCGCTTTGTGGTCGGACTGGAGAGGGAACTTGAAAAGGTTCACTCTTCAGTCGCGGGAAAGGGAGCCTGCAAAGGTTCACTTTCCCGCTTGCGTCTGAACTGAAGAGGGAACTTGAAAAGGTTCAGTCTCCAGACGTGGGAAAAGGAGCTTGAAAAGGTTCACTTTCCCCCTTGTATTGGGTCTGGAAGAGGGAACTTGAAAAGGTTCACTCTCCAGGCGTCGGACAAGGAACTTGAAAAGGTTCACTTTCCCCCTTCTACTGGGTATGGAGAGGGAACTTGAAAAGGGTCACTTTCTAGCAGCGGGAAAGGGAGCCTGCAAAGGTTCACTTTCTCGCTTGCGTTTAAACTGGAGAGGGAACTTGAAAAGGTTCACTCTCCAGGCGTGGGAAAGAGGGCTTGCCAAGGCCCCGAGGCCTCCGCCGACTCAGCCTACAGGGTGATGGAGGATGAGGTATGAGGTGTTTCAACGGCTTGGGCACTTCTGGAGCCTCGGGGGTCCGCCAGAGTTCGCCCTACAATCATGCCCCCCAGACACCCGGAGCACCCGGAGCACCCAGAGCATTTGGAACACCCGGAACACCCGGAGCACCTGGAGCACCCAGAACAAGACACCCGGAACACCTGGAACACCCGGACCCGGAACACCCGGAACACCCAGAACACCCGGACCCGGAACACCGGGAACACCCGGAACACCCGGACACGGAACGCCTGGAACACCCGGGACACCCGGAACACCCGGAACACCCATGACACCCTGACCCGGAACACCCAGGACACCCGGGAGCACACGCGGCCGCAGGGATGATTGGTATGGATAGGGTAGGGACGACGACGAGGGGGGGAGCATGAAATGGGAGGAGGAGGAGGAGGAGGAGGACGAGCAGGATGATGAGGAGGAGGAGGAGAAGAAGGATGATGATGATGCTGCTGATGATGATGATGATGATGATGAAGATGATGAAGATGAAGAAGATGATGATGATGATGATGATGATGATGATGATGATGATGATGATGATGATGATGATGATGATGATGATGATGATGATGATGATGATGATGATGATGATGATGATGGATGATGATGATGATGATGATGATGATGATGATGATGATGATGATGATGATGATGATGATGATGATGATGATGATGATGATGATGATGATGATGATGATGATGATGATGATGATGATGATGATGATGATGATGATGATGATGATGATGATGATGATGATGATGATGATGATGATGATGATGATGATGATGATGATGATGATGAGGAGGAGGAGGAGGAGGAGGAGGAGGAGGAGGAGCTGTAGGATAGAGGAAGGAGGAGGGAGGAAGACGAGCCCAGACGTGGCCGGAGGGCACGCCTCTCCTCTTTGTCCACCGGGCGCCACCGATGGCGTGTCATGGAAGGGCAGGGCGGGGATGCTGTGCGAATGCCATAAGATGCCGTGAGCGTAAACTCCAAGCCTCCCAAACACGGGGGCGGGAGCAGATGAGGTCGGAGGATCGCCCCGCATCGCTGGTGCATCGGCGATGCGGCTCGATGTGGAGCCCGATTGTCTTCACGCCGACGTCGCCGATGCATCGCCGACGTCGCCGATGCCTCGGCGATGCGGCGCGATCCTCCAACCCCATCTGCTCGGACACCATTTGGGAGGCCTCCATATGAACGGCACGAGCCCTCTTCCTCTTGGCTTGTGATGCTCTGTCTGGCCCATGAGACCTTGATGTCAGCACATTGCCCCCCCCCACCCCCTCCTCCTTGGTGGGGTAAGAAGGCTGTCTGCAGCAGCGGCCCAGTATTCAACGGGTGTTCAAAACAACGTGATTATTCACAGAGGAAAACAGCGCCAACGGTATTGCATTGTTGTCACGGCTCGGGGGGTCGTGGCATCAGGCTTACAGTGCTTCTTTGGGAGCGCCGTCCCGCGTTTCCAGGCCGCACCTCGACTACGAGGCGGCAAACGCATCGTGCCGCACGTTCCTGCACAGGCCAAGGTTTGCCGTGTTTGCGCGCCTCTTGCAGGTTGGCCCTCGCGTGACTGGGCTTGCTTGGCGCATCTTGACGGCATATCGTCACCCGAGGTTCGTGCTCGATGCGAGGGAAAAAATGCCTCCCGGTGTCGACGCCCATCGTATCAGACGCATGTTTGTGCACGGCCCCACATTCAGTGGGAGGGAGTCTGCAGTGCAGGCGCCAGCGCGGCCCGCGACGGTTCCCCACCGCGAGAAGTCTTCTTTTCCCGCGCTTCTTCAAGCTGACCTATGGGACGTTTGCCAGGTCGTCGCGCTCGCTCCCGCTCGTAATAAAGAGCGAATGACCGCGAGGGGGGGCTGGCGTTCAGTCGGGCCTGTCCCTCTACAGGGGGAACATTCAGAAATGGTCAAAGAATAGTTGGGGGACGATTTTTTTATGATTTTTGAACCATCTGGGTCGTATTTTTGGACTCTTTCTCATTTTTCGTCCAGAATCGGCCTGTAGGGGGGACAGGCCCGACCTAAGGCTGGCGAGCAGGCGAGCGGGTGCGGAATGCACTGAGGCACCATGGCGCTGCTCGGGCGGGGCGAAAGGGGGGGGATAGGGAAAGGGGGGCCTACGAAATCTGCTGCATGCAGCTGGTTCCTGCCCCACCGAAAGGCCCATTCCTCGATACATGGCCGCCTCTGGCGCCGGGAGGCGCCGGGAAAATCAGCTACGTGAGCTGATTCTCAACCCCCCCCCCGTGCTATCCACCCCTTTCGCCCGGCCCGAGCTGCGCGGCAGCAGCGCTAATGCTCAGAGGCCAAGGGCCTCCGCGGAGGGCCCGCTGCCCGAACCGGCCCTGCGCTCCTCGGGGGCCTCCGCGGCACGCTGCCGCTGCGCCGCTGCCCTTCTCCGCGAGGCTGCTGTCTTCGGGGTCCTCTCTCGCTTCGGGGGTGCTGTCCTGCGGCGGGGCTGCGGCCGTGCGAGCGCCGTGCCACTCCCGGCTTTTCTCTTGGGGGGGTCGTTTCGACGCGCGCTCGCTTGGGCCTCCTCAACAGGGCGCTCAAGGTTTCGATGATCCCCAGGACCAGTGTTAGCTTTGAGGAGGACGATCAAAGGAAAGGAAGCGTGCTGCCAAATAGTTTCCAGATGTCCAAAAGATGTTTCAGATATGTTTTAAGTATGTGAAAGACATGTGTACAACATTTTTAGGACATGTTTTGCACATTTGAAACACATCTTCAATTCAATGATACGACTGTTAGGGTGTCCATTGTCGTGGCATCCGCAATGTTCGCCCAATGCGTGTTTACCCCGTTCCGTTCCACTTATGAACACGCAACTTGTGCCAGCCCTCATTGCACCGCCTGCGTCGGCCTTCGGCGGAGAAGCACGCGTTGGCGGTAGCGCACCGAGCGTTGGTTGACCGCCGCCACTGGCCTGGAATCGGTCGATATTGAATGCTGGGCGCCATCGGAACGCCGCGGTCGCTTCAAGGTTGAGCGATGCGCGCAGTGTCACGGCACCAAAGTGCCGTACGGGTACCGTTGCCTTTCCCACCCCAGCCAGAACGAACGCTCGGCGACTGCGCCCCATCCCTGACGGCGTAAGAGAACCGTAAGAGGACCGGTCAACCTGGCCGCCCAGAGCTGCACGGCAAGCTTGTGTCGTGACGAGTGGCGCGCCGGTTTCTGTCACCGCGTGGAGATATCTCGGCCATGAAAGTCCGCAGCGCTCCGGCAGTAAGTCCGTTCCAGAACCTTCTGGAACGCTTTCAGAGCGTTCCAGAACGCTCTGAGAAGGCCGCGGCGCCCGATCCATCCTCCAGAGCCGCCAGATCTCAGAGATTCTCGAATTATCCTCACCCGATTTTATTCTCGTCCTGGCTTCGCAGTGCGCTTCCAGGCCATCCTTTGTCCTCCCACGGCGCAGTCTCTCTCGACGCGGATCAGTCTGGGGATCTCGGCCTCTCTCCGCGGGGGCCGGCCGTTCGTCCCGCGCCGGCTTCTTGGCGGCACCGGGGCCGGGGGGCAGTCGGCGACTGCAAAGGGTGCGGTTACGCCAGGGTGCGGTTTGCGATCGGCGCCGTGGGGGCCTGGAGGGACGACACTGTCCTCGTCGGGCCTCCTCGGGGCGCGGTGGGGAATTCAATCGAGGCACCCGCCCGCCCCCCATGGTGCCGCCCCCCAGGGTGCCGATTGCAAACCACACCGTTTGCAAACCGCACCTTCTGGAGTCGCCGAGGCAATTTCTGGAGGCCGATCGGGGGCCTCGGGACGGGGGTCACTGCAAGCGGGGGTCAGCCAGAGCGCCAGATCTCGCGGGCTCCTGCAAAGCCAGGTGCTCTGACCTGAGCCGGTCCTGCAGGAGGCTGCAGGATCCTGCAGGATCATGCGTCGCTTGACTTGCCCAGGGTTGCGTTGACCCAGGTCAGTGCGTCCCCCGAGCCGAGAGCGGGTGCCGCGGCTCCTTCTCTGCGACGCCCGCAGCCCTTACGACCTGAGGTTGCGAACAAAGTATAACCCCGTCGAAAACACGACGAGAGCCTCAGAGACCCCACCTATCTGCGGCATTCCTCGAGCCCGATCGATCTCCGAGGCTGTCGGGGTCTGAGAAACGGGGCGAAATGGGCCGCGAGGTAATGGGGGGGTCATAGATCGGGGCGGTCAGACTGGTCACTTTTTTGGTCACTTTTTGGTAACTTTTTAGTTGCCGTTTAGTGCTTGGCGCCTTCTCCTCCTCCGCCGCCTTCTTCTTCCTCCCTCCCTCCCTTCCTCCCTCTCCCTCCCTCCCTCCCTGTTTGCCTCCCTCTCTCCCTCCACCCCTCCCCTCCCTCCTTCTTCCCATCCCTCACCCCTCCTCCCCTCCCTCCCCCTTCCTCCCCCCCTCCCTCCCCCATCTTTTCTTTTCTCCGCCTACGTATTCTTCCTCCTCGTCCTCTTGAGCATTATTACATCGTCGTCCTATGGGTCCTCCAGCTCCCATCCCTCTCCCCTCCGCTCTTCCGCTGCAGGCCTGCGGCAAGCTCGGCCTTGAGGACGTAGGTGCGGAGTGCGAGCAGACCAGGGAGGCCCTGAAGGACTCCCGCTGCGTTTCTGATGCTGCTGCACCCTTCGCTCGCTCCCGGAGGGAGTGCGAGGGAGGGAGGAGGGAGGAGGACGGATGGAGAGGAGGGAGGGAGAGGAGGGCGAGGAGGGAGGGAGAGAAGGGAGGGAGGGAGGGAGGGAGAGGGGGGAGGAGGGAGGGAGAGGGGGGAGGAGGGCCCTCCCCTCCCTCCTCTCCCTCCCTCCTCTCCCTCCTCTCCCCCTCCTTCCTGATGATGCTGCTCCCTCCCGCTTCCCTCGGGGAAGAGAAACGGCAGGCGCGCACATTCTCGAAGCTCCGCGCGGATTTCTGGCGCATGTGCGTACAGTGAGCTCCAGAGGAGCAGGGAGCCCATCTAGAACTGCGTGTTCTTGAATTCGGAGTTTTCTCGAGCCGGATCCGGCTTCCAAAACATGCAGCTCTCTCATGACGCCCTTGGGTGGCCTCAAATGCGCACGGGCGTACGCTGAGCGCCAAAGGAATTGGGAGCCCGTCCCAGACCAGGCGCGTTCCACGCTGCAGCGTCTTGGCCGTACCATGTCATTGCGTGGCTCCCTCCTCTGGAGAAGCCCACGCGGATGAGGGCGCCGGGGGTCCAGCGCCGCTCCCATCAAACCATTCGCGGGCCCCAGGAAATGTCTGTTTCTTCCCGGAGAGGGCGTGGGCCCGGGGTTCTCTTTTAGCTTGTAAGCTGCCCCCCGTGCCATGACTGAGGTGGGCCGGCATAGGACGGGGAGCGTCTTCGAAAGGCCCTGGCTCGAGCGATTTCTGGCGTTTCTCGTGTGTCGGCGGGGTCGCAAGCCCCCGCACAGCATGCATGCTGTCGATGGCGGGACAGGTTTCGTTTCTTCTTTTTCTTTGCGCCATCGCTAGCCGAAGTTACCCACGCTGGATGGCCGAGCGTTCGATGACGGCACGATCAGCGTGGAGCTCCATGACATCGACTGACGCCGATGATGGGAGCGAACCAGTGCACAGCGCAAGGAACTATCACCGTGCCTGCCGTGCCAGTCTCGCCAGGGGGCGAGCGTGGTCGTGGTCCGATCTCTATGAAGGCCAGGGCGTTGTGGCAGGTCGACGCTATGGGGGTATTCAGCTCGGCGACGCAGCAGTTGCAACAGCCACGGGAAATGCGTTGGTACTCAAGTGTTGGGCGCGTCGGGGCCTCGATCATCTTTTTGTTTTGCTGTAGCCCGGTCATTTTGCTCGAGGAAGCTCAGGATGATCCCGACGCCGCAGGCCATCGTGTACGCTAAACGCCAGCCAGCGGACCGACGTATCTGCTACCTCGACGCAGCGGAGTTGAGGACCGTCAGCAAGGTCTGTCCCCGGCTGTGCAACAAAGCAGACATCGCGCTCACCAGATGGCTCGTGTGGGACCCGACAGTAACCAAGTGGCTTGGCTTCCCGTGTGCCTGCATCTGGTGGTTTGCCGTCGACTACACCAACCAATTCCGTGACCTTCGGACCAAGCAGGTGCAGTGCTCTTCCGTGGCCCGTGACAGCCGACAGTGACCGCAATGCTTAGACTCGGCCAAGTTTTGTGCTCTCGCCCTGGTGAGGTTTCAGCTGTTGCACAATTTTGGTATGTATTTTTGCCAACGCTGGCGTGTTTCTTGCCTTTTCCCTGTCCTATGGCCTGCTGGGTTGGTGACTTTGAATTTGGCTCGGCCCGCAGCCCGCAGACAGGTGGTCGATCCGTCTGTCTGCCGCCCTCGTTTCAGCATCCTGGAGCGTTGCCGACTTTGCGCTGCCAGCAAGGGCGGCTCCAGCATCGGTGTGTTGTGTTTCTCCGCGCCTACCGCGTTGCGCCGTTTTGAGTTTCTTTGACTGCCACCAGTCTTTTGGCCAGAGGGCCAGGTGCTGATGTGCGAGCCTCCCACCAGGAGGTGGTAGCTTCGTATGTGACGCCCGCAGGTGCGCATGCGCGCGGGTTGACCACGCGTTTGGCCTTGTGATAGCTCGCGAGACCTCTTGATCTGGGGTTGTGGTTCCCCAAAACGTCTGCGAGGTACGAGGAGCGAGCTGAAGTTCTGGCTTCATCTGCATCGTACCTTAAACTTCCTTACTGTATGGGGTTCGGGATTGCATGTGGTTTTTTTCGTTGGCCGATTCCCCAAAACAGCGATGTCGCTCGAGACATCCTCCGAAAATGGAGATGTTGGAGGCGATCGCTTAAAACGTTATCGGTTAAACATGACGTTTTCGCTCGGGACATCCTCGGACAGCCGGCGTGCGGAAACATGTCAAGGTTTTTGTCGTGCGCGAAAAAATCAGCGTTTCGCCCGAGACATCTTCGACCACGTGATATGTTGGATAACCTGTTTTACTACCTCTCATACTAAAAATGGCGCTTTCGCTCGGGACATCCCCAGAACATCGGGAGGGGCGCGGCGAACCGAAACAAGGAGCACGGCAGACAATGATCTTTTCGCTGGGGACATTTTCAACGCATGAGATGTTCGCAACATCGCCTCGACATCGTTCTCGCAGTGCTTCAAGATGATAAGTGAGAGCCCCAAGCTGCCGAACGTTACGATTTCGCTGGTGACACCCTCAACAAAAAAAACACATTGAACAACGTCGTTTTGAAACCTGTTGTTATAACGTCGTCTTGGGATCGCTCTTGAGAAGGTTTCCAGCCCTTTAAAAATAATCTCGCCAAGGACATCCTCAACGAACCAATGTGTCTAACATCGCACAGCAATGAGTTTGGAGGGCATCAAGACGGCCCCCAAAAAACCCCACACGAGCCCCAAAATGACCCCCAGGATCGCCCTTGACACGACCCCAATCTGTGATCTCGCTGGAGACATCTTCGCAGCATTGATCTGTTCGTAACATCGGTTTTATCAAACATTATCGATCCGCCTGATACATCCCCCAACAATCGGAAGTCGCGAATTTGATCTATGTTCAAAAATATGTATTTCGCCTGATACATCGTCACAACAATGATATGTCGGAGAGGTGGTTCTATTACTTCGCATGTTAAAAATGGCGCTCTCGCTGCAGACATCCTTAGAACATCGGGCGGAACACGGCGGACGAACAAAAAAGAGCACGGCAGAGAATAAATATTTCCGCCGTGCTCCTTCGTTTTTGGGGTCTTTCTGCCGTGCTCCTTAGCGCTTGGGGTATATTATGCCTTGCTCCTGGTCTTCTTCTGCCGTGCTCCTTCGCTTTTCGGGCCTGCTCTGCCGTGTTCCTTTTTTTCTGCCGTCCTCCTTAGCTTTTCGGGTCCATTCTGCTGTGCTCCTAGTCTTTTTCTGCCGTTCTCCTTCGTTATTGGGGCCTATTCTGCCGTGCTCCTTCAAATTCGCTCTTGGGGTTTTCTGCCGTGCTCCTGGTCTTTTTCTGCCTTGCTCCTTCGCTTTTGTGGCTTCTTCTGCCGTGCTTCTTAGCTCTTGGGGTCTATTCTGCCGTGCTGATTTGTGTCTGCCGTGCTCCTTCGCTCATGGGGCCTATTCTCCCGTGCTCCTGTTTTTTTGTCTGCCGTGCTCTTTCGATCTTGGGGTCTATTCTGCCGTGCCTCTGGTTCTTTTCTGCCGTGCTCCTGAGCTCCTCGGGTCTATTCTGCCGTGCTCCTGGTCTTTTTCTGTCGTGCTCCTTCGCTCTTGGGGGCTATTCTGCCGTGCTCCTGAGCTCTTCGGGTCTATTCTGCCGTGCTCCTGGTCTTTTTCTGTCGTACTCCTTGGCTCCCCAGGCCTATTCTGCCGTGCTCCTTTTTTTTTGCCGTGCTCCTTGGCTCTTGGGGTCTATTCTGCCGTGCTCCTGGTCTTTTTTTGCCGTTCTCCTTCGCTCTTGGGGCCTATTCTGCCGTGCGCCTGTTTTTCCCGGAAAGGGCATAAGCCCATGGTTCTCTTTCAGTTGGTTTACCTCCGGGTTTGACTTGAGGTGGGCCGGCGAATTTCTTTTGCGATAAATATCGAGGTCGAGGTGGGCGGGCGAATTGCAATTTGAGGATGCCCCTAGCGAAACGCTTGTTTTTCAGAATTTGTTGAGGATGTCTCGAGCGAAACGCTTGTTTTGTGTTATAGATTGTCCCTTCCTGGGGACCAGATTTCAGAGAATCTCTCAAGTGAACTGCTTGTTTTCATGTGCCCAGGTCTTGAGGATGTCTCGAGCGAGACGCTTGTTTTCACGCCTTCAGGTTGCTCATGCAGAGGTCTATCGCCAGGATTTGTTGAGGATGTCTCGAGCTAGACGCTTGGTTTCACGCGTCCTCGTCGCCCAGGCGGATGTCTAGCATGAGGATGTGTTGAGGAAGTCTCGATCGAGATGCTTGTTTGCACGTGTCCAGGTTGCCCAGGCGGATGCCTAGCATGAGGATGTGATGAGAATGTCTCAAGAGATACGCTTGTTTTCACGTGTCCAGGTCGCCCAGGCGGGTGTCTAACATGAAGATGTGTTGAGGATGTCTCGAGCGAGACGTTTGCTTTGACGTGTACAGGTCGCCCAGGCGGATGTCTAGAATGAGGAGGTGTTGAAAACGTCTCGAGCGAAACGCTTTTTTTCACGTGCCCAGGTCACCCACGCGGACGTCTCACATGAAGATGTGTTGAGGACGTCTCGAGCGAACCACTTGTTTTCACGTGTCCAGTTCGCCCAGGCAGATGTCCAGCATGAGAATGTGTTGTAGATGTGTTGAGCGAAACGCTTGTTTGCACGTGTCCAGGTCGCTCAGGCGGATGTCTAGCATCAGCATTTTGACAGGATGTCTCGAGCGAAACGCTTGTCCCCAGCACGTTCCACAGCGCGTCCCCTTGGCACGTCCCGCGGTGCGTCCCCATGGCACGCCCCCTGGCACGTCGCTCGGCGCGTCCCTTGGGACGTTCCGCGGCGCGTCCTCCTGGCATGTCCCCCTGTCAATTAGTTTTGGGGCAGCTACTATGTGTTCAGGCAGCTCGAGCGTAAGGTCCAGATCAGTTCGGTCAGGACTCGGATGCAAAGGAGGACTCGATCCACGAGGCTATAGAGCATAGTCGCGGCATG